TACATAAACACAAATGTACATAATAATAATAATATTTACCAAAAAGTACATTATTAAATTTTTTATAGGCCTAACACACATTCTTCTTCTTCGTTGTCTTTATTATTATTATTATTCTCCATCGGTGACAGAAATCGAGAAAATGTTGCTCATGTCTTGTCTGGTTCTCTGTCAGACCTTCTCGGTCCTGAGTGTATTCCCGCCTGTTACCTGTTCCCTGGAGGGTTTGGACTGCTCGGATTATTCGCTGCCTGAGCTGAGACTCTGCACTGCTGGGTTACCTGCACTTCTACTTGATGTAGTTGGAGTTTTCACACGCAATTGGATCTTGTGTTTCCGTTTCATGACACCTCTAGCCAGACGAAACCAGCATGGCGTGGTTAATTCCAGGCTGCAATACAGGTGCAGAGGACTTGTCTGGTTCCCGTGGTCTTGTGCCGATGGTCATCGAGGTGATGAGGTGGCTACAGTGACCATCTGAATCCGTATGGCTACGGTGATCTCGGAATAAGAATGAAAGAGACTAATATTAGTGTAGACGCCATTCTTCTTACAATGTAGCGAGTACATCGGATGTTATGGGAAGTGTTCCTGGTTCCGGCTGACCTAATTAATACAGCCTAACAATCCTTTAACGGATTTGAATTATAGAAATGCAATGTTGTATTGTGTATGCCAGGTTAAAGAGATGGGTCTTTAATCTAGATTTAAACTGACAGAGTGTGTCTGCCTCCCGAACAACGCTAGGTAGAATGTTCCAGAGTTTGGGCGCTAAACAGGAAAAGGATCTGCCGCCCGCAGTTGATTTTGATATTCTAGGTATTATCAAATGGCCAAAGTTTTGAGATCGCAGCGGACGTGAAGGACTATAATGTGATCTGAGCTCGCTCAAGTATTGAGGAGCCAAACCATTCAGGGCTTTATAAGCAATTAGCAAGATTGTAAATTGTATTTGACACCTCAAACTCGTTGTTGTTGTGCTCCTCAAATCATTCCTGAACCATTTTTGCTTTGTGGCAGGGCACATTATCCTGCTCAATAAGGCCTTAGCCACCAGGGAATACTATTTCCATGAAGTAAAGTGATGTGTCAAAGTAACATGGATGGCAGGACCCAAGGTTTTCCAGCAGAACACTGCCCAAACCATCACACTGCCTCCGCCAGCTTGCCTTCTTCCCATAGTGCATCCTGGTGTCATGTGTTCCCCAGGTAAACGACGCACCCGGCCATCCATGTGATGTAAAAGAAAATGTGATTCATCAGACCAGCCCTCCTTCTTCCATTGCTCCGTGGTCCAGTTCTGATGCTCACGTGCCCACTGTTGGCACTTTTGGCGGTGGACAGGGGTCAGCACGGGCTCCCTGCCTGGTCTGCGGCTATGCAGCCCCATACACAACTAACTGTGATGCACTGTGTATTCTGACACCTTTCCATCAGAACCAGTATTAACTTCTTGAGCAATTTCAGCTACAGTTGCTTGTCTGTTGGATCGGACCACACGGGCCAGCCTTCGCTCCACACTTGCATCAATGTGTCTTGGCAGCCCATGACCCTGTCGCTCGTTCACTACTGTTCCTTCCTTGGACCACTTTTGATAGATACTGAGCACTCCAGACCGGGAACACCCCAGAAGAGTTGCAGTTTTGGAGATGCTCTGACCCAGTCTCTAGTCATCACAATTTGGGCCTTGTCAAACTTGCTCAAATCCTTATGCTTGCCCATTTTTCCGACTTCTAACACATCATCTTTGAGGAAAATTTTTTAACTTGCTGCCTAATATATCCCACCCACTAACAGGTGCCGTGATGAAGAGATAATCAGTGTTATTCACTTCACCTGTCAGTGGTCATAATGTTATGCCTTATTAGTGTATACATAGGTTATTGTCTATAACTATACATGAAACCTCATTATAGAGGCTAATATAAAAAATATCACTTACTGGGTTAGGGTTATGGGTTTATAAATTGCCATCTGTTGCTGACAATCTGCCATTCTTCCAGTTCTTATTCTTTAGCAGTCTCAATGCAAATCTTCAGCTGGGTATTCAAGACCAAGGTTGGAGCGCCAAGGATGGTAAAGCTTGATGTTGAGTAGCCTAAATATATAATATATATATATTTAAGCCCACCCAGTTATTATACATAGTTTATATACAATTCTGTGTAGATATACCTGGAAATTACTGAAATCTACCTTGAAATATTGTCTGCCAGACAGCTAAAATGAAAACAATGGTAAGGCAGAAAACAATGGTCCAGTGACAGTCATGTAGACTATAGTTGGCGTAACAGTGATAATGAAGAACACGATGCCTAATAGTATGACAAAAAATGCATGAGGTGTGAGGGACACAAACATTGGTGGATAGCTAAGGTATACAGAGGAATATTTGTGCTTTTTGGGTAGATAGGCCTATACCTACCTGGAAATTACCTAGACGTGCGGTCTGCCAGATAACTAAAATTCAAACCTGGATAAGAGCAGAAACATACACTCTCAGAGTGTCACATTTTTTGGTTCTGGTCATTTTAGGAAAATAAGCTTTTGGTTCTCAGAGCATTCCTAAAACAAATTAAATATTAAATAAATAAAAATTAAATAAACAATTGTTTTAGGTTGTGGATAATTAGGATAATGCTCTTCTAACATTTCTGTAACCATGCTGCAATATTAGGCTACTTTAATAAACAGTGTAAATATTAAGATTGAAATAATCTATTAATATGTCAAGTTAACTGGAACATTCATCTATTACTGTTCCACAAGCTGTAATCTGCCCAGATCTTATGTTTCCAAGAGTACACAATAAAATAAAAAAGTTTCAGCTCCCTGTTTTTCCATTATGACATTTATCTGATCATTACAATTCCTTCTGGCAGCAAACTACATATCCGTGATCTTCATTTTGCACATTTCATTGGATGTAGTGCTGCATGCACTAATGTAAGTTATTGTTAGCAAAACTTCTCTGTAATATTCTACAAACATTCATCATTCATTGGAATGAGGAAATAAAACAAATATAACCATACTACTAGGTTGTCCCAAAATTAAAAAAAAAACTCCCTACAATGTTATGGGAACATTTACGGATATCCTTGTAGGGGAATTTACAGTTAAAACCCAAGGACCAGGTGTTGAATTAAGACCAGGAGTCAGAGATGCAATCAATTGAAGAAAAATTTACTGAAGAAAATAGTTTGCAGTTTCATCAGCAGAAGTCAGCTTCATTACTCGCAATGGAGTTAGTAGGCCGCTCTGCATACATGTCAAAAACACCAATAATTATACTCTAACAGAGGTCACTAATTACTTCAATACATATCTCATAAGTGATTATTTAGGCTATAGAGATCAGGAGTCAGACAAAACAGGTATCTCCAGAGACCTATTCCTGATCAGAGGGGCATCCGATGACGAGCTTCTCCACTTACTCAGGAAAAGATGCCAACACACACAGAGAAAACTTATCTTCTGTTCAAGGTGGCCTGGCTCTGGCGAGAATCTTATCAGCATTCAGCATGGTTCATTACATATATCACACACACTATGCCTGTCTCTTTTTAGAGAGTAAAAATACAGAATAAAGCAGGATTATTTAATATTTATTATGCAACTACCAGTTAAATTGCTCAATAAGCAAGTTGCAAGCAATATCATAAAACAGCAGAACACATAAATGTCACAGTTGTCCCAATCACTGTCGCTATCGTAGATGGGAGGTCACCTTGACCTAATCATGGCATTGTGACTCTAGGAACAGAATAGACTTCAGCATGGAACTAAGTCAATCATCAAATAATCTAGGAGGTTAAATACTGATCAATAACTTGATTAATAAACACACAAGAAATAATATTATTATGAAGGATATGGTAGATCGGCATCCACTCCTTCATCCTGTAGAGGGCCGTCCACAAAGTACATGTTTTCCACTTTGAAAATGCAGTGGAACGGAGGAGAAGGTAAGATCTCGACTCGTTTTTTAAAAGATAAACTTATTCTAACTCGAGTGCTGTGATTTTAGAACACCCTATATACGAAACTGTGTAAAAAAACACATGACGCAAACGCAAAGAGCAAACATGTCCGGCTAGCGCAAGGATGTCAAACTCAATTCCTGGAGGGCCAGAGCCCTGCAGAGTTTTGTTCCAACACACGTACCATGTAGTTTTCAAATAAGCCTGAAGGACTTGATTAGTTGGATCAGGTGTGTTTAATTAAGGTTGAAACCTAACCTCTGCAGGGCTCCGGCCCTCCAGGAACTGAGTTTGACACCCCTAGGCTAGCATGTGTTTACATTGGAAAAACATTGATAATGTGGCGTGGTGGAATGGAAAAACACTTTGTGTGTGAACCAGAAGGAGTCTTTACAGGCACATATAGGCTAAGCTAAAGTAAGCTGCATATATCTTTAGAAAGAGCCTAGGTAAATATAGGCCTTCCTGGATACATGTCGAATACCGTTTACGCTTGCTAAAATATTATTAGGGCTTGTTGGGAAACACCAAAATGTTTTTCATTGCAATCATCAATAGCACCATTCATTTCACGATTTTGAATAAATATAGGCCTATATATATATATTTATATTTAATTAATGTCATTTTGGACATATATATATAAGGAATATTCATTGGAATATTTTGATATAACATGCTGTTTATTTGTTAGTAGTTTATTAGTTTAAACATGCAGCAAGGCTGATGAGAGTTTCAAGACGGTTATATAGAGATAGGCAACATAACATGCATATTGCATAATAAAGAATTGTACAGAAAGTTAAACATAGTATAAAGGGTTTTATGATAATTTGAAATAGCAAAATCACAGTGCTGTTCATGTTTATAGTCAGCCATTTTGCTGTATTTGAAAGCAATTCTACTTTTTAACAATTTGCCATGCTTTCCCTTACAAATTACACATCACAAATCCCTGTTAAGCCTGCACTAAAGTCAGCTGCAGATCTCCACAAATCTCCAAAATATCAATGTCGTTCAGAGAGCTGCTCTTACATAGTTGGGTGCAGAAGGGTATGCCGGGAACTGTGGGTAGATAAACACTGAATTAGTATCACTTCCTCATACAGAACAAACACAATGTGACCTCGTAACAGTTACTGAAAGATATGGGAGACTGGAAATGTTGCACTTGATCAAATAACACGGCATCTTAGTGAGCACTTTCAACACAGAACATCAGTACAATATAAAATAAATGATTCAGAATTAATCATAAACAACATCACAAATAATAGCACTGTTAAACACAGATAACATTGAACGATGGAGTTTTCTAAATGCTGACATGAACTAAAACAGGAAGTTGTGTGTACTGACATTTGGCAGAGGTGAAGTAGATGCCATCCTGTTTTGGAGCCATAGTTTACACATTTAACCCTGTCATGCCACACCGAACGAGGACAAACAAGTATATTGTCTTTCTAGTAGTTTCTTCATTAGCATTTTTTTTCCAACCTTTCATTTACATGCTGCAGATCTTTTAAAAGTTGTAGAATCCAATAAAAGCATTGTGTGTGTTTTGTAGAGCACCAATTATATCATAAAAGACAAACATATAACCTTCAAAGTTAAGAACCTTTGATTTCTGTTGATCATCATAGAGGTGTCACATGACATATTTCATGACGTATCAACCACTTACCCCACATCCTGGAGGTACAGCATACTGAGGCTGTAGATGAAAGGAACAGTTGTTTATGACAGGAAAACTACAATAATGTCCTTAATGTCGTTCAAACATATATTCACCTGATATGCTGCTTGAGGTGCTATATAACCCTGGAAAGATAATATACAAAATTAATTCAAAAGACATTGCAGTTTTATCGCAACAATGAGATGCAGTATGCAGTATGAGCTGATAATAGTACTCACTGGAAAGGCCGGTTGTGGAGGTAAATAGGGCTGCAAAGAAAAAAAAAATCACGACGTTTATATGTCACATTACATTCAAAAATGCTCATTTAAATAAACAGTGGGCCTAAAATGATTCAGGCGCATTGTGATTTAATATTGCTTGTATACTCATGAATGAATGAATGTCACGACATTTATATGTCACATTACATTCAAAAATGCTCATTTAAATAAACAGTGGGCCTAGAATGATTCAGGCGCATTGTGATTTAATATTGCTTGTATACTCATGAATGAATGAATGTTTTTGAATTAGTGAATGAATCAAAGATAGTAACTTGTTTCATTACTAAATTAATTAAGAACTCTTCCTTGTCACTTGTTACAGGAGTCTAACCGGAAATACTGTGTGTGTGTGTGTGTATATATATATATATATATATATATGGAGGAAATGTTATTTCTATCTGAAATACTAATAAAGTGTTCTTCAGACTGTCTCCGAGTGCTTCAGTATGCTTGAGTATTTGATGAGCTGAGAGATAACAGGAAATCTATTTGTGTAGGCTGTGTGTGCAAGACAAGTTTATTTCTATCTGAAATACTAATATTATTTGCGTCACTGTACTAAAGTGTTCTTCAGACTGTCTCCGAGTGCTTCAGTATGCTTGAGTATTTGATGAGCTGAGAGATAACAGGAAATCTATTTGTGTAGGCTGTGTGTGCAAGACAAGTGTGTGAGACAGAAATGTGATTTTAGACGTCCTGGCTACTAAGGTATAAGGTATAAATGTTGAGTTGGGGTGTTGCCTCTGGCTCTTGGTCGCACTCTGCAGTCAACTAGGATGACTGTTGAACTTTTCTTGCAAGAAAATAAATATTCAAAAGACTTTTGTCTCCAAAAGAAAAAGTAAAACTGCCACGGCAAAAAAATAAAATAAAATTTATATATATATATATATATATACACACACACACACACACACACACACACAGTATTTCACAATATTAATGATATTACTGTATTTTTGACCAAATAAGAGTGCATATTTTCAAAAATCATTCTAATATGCAGATTTGGTGTTTAAAAACACTTCTCATTATTATCATATTATTATATTTTTTGTTGATTAGAAAGTTCAAAAGAACTGCATTTATTTGAAAAAGAAATCTTTTATAATATTATAAATGTCTTAACAGTCCCTATTTCCATAGTTAATGTGATGAACTGCACTTGTGATTACTTCATTCATCCATTACAAAACACGCTGGGGCACATAAAAGTCATTTTAAACACTAGCTCAAAAAAGTGAAGTTAGTTCTGAGAAAAGTTCTGCAGTGGCATCGCGCCTATTTTTGTTCTCACCGCAGGATTCTGGAAGGCAATAGAGTTCAACTCCACCATTCCCTCCACTGAGATGGTGTCCACCTGAGTGAATGGAATACGGTGTCTATAGTCCATGAAGTGTCTCCCATTAGTAGATATCTAGAGAGAACCATCATAAAAGTCATAAATGAAATGAGGTGAAATGCCTTTCTAGTAATTTACTATTTATCGTTCTGCTGATTAAAAAGAAAGCTGGAAAATGGATTGATGCTACTCAGAAATCTGAACGTGAATGACCTTGTACCTTGTATTTGTCCTGCTCGACAAGGATCTGGAGGGTGAATGTTTGGCCTTGGGGGAAGGGAGCTTCATATTTGCGTTCCTCTGAGCCCCAGCACCTGCTCTGGGAGGTGTTGTGCACGACATACCCAGGGCTCTCATAGCGTGGGTTAAAGTGCAGAGCAATATCAGCCCCGGAATGAGATCCACATTGAAGGTTCACATGAAATCTGCAGGACAAAGAGGAATAAGAGAGGTATGAGAGAAAACTGGATCATCTCATCTAATATGTTCTAAAATAGTTGCAGGGCTCAAGAAACGACACCTGAATTGGTAAATAATTATTTTAAAATGAGCATTTTACCACTAAAAAGCATTAATAGCTCTTTTGCAGTGTAAATAAAGGAACACAGCATATTGTAGACTCTTCTCATCTTTTTCACACATCTTGGTTGCCTCTGATCATTAACCTAATTAAGTAGAGACCATATTATACCACTACACTACTAAACAATAAAGGCCAGCACCAAAGAATTATGTATAAAAATATCCATAAGAAAACATTGTACAGTTAGTTAATCTATTTTATTACCCGAAATGAAAATGAAATCATTTCATGTCCTTGAAAACTAACATTAAACTAAACATTAAATTCCTCACCTGTTAGCCCCTGGCAAAACTCTTCCACTTATGATAATGCTCTTCCCGTCCTGCAGGCCTCCCTGGATTTGGCCACTGAATGGGATTCTCTGTGTTGATGCAAATAGTAATACGACACATAAGTAGTCATCTGCCCTGAGGAACTAATTCCTAATCATACGAATAAATTATTAAATTGGCCTAGACCAGTGGCGTGGACAGACCTCCGGAGGGGAGAAGGGTATAACTGCAGCCTGGAGAACTCCAAATGTGGGCGGGAACTCCAAAACGGGGTGGGAGCTCCAAAACAGGGCGTGGCTTCCTCCCATTGACGGACAGGCACATGACACGCATGCGCTCTCACGGAGAATATTTATTTATACAGCATATTTTATTTTAGATGAACTAGAAACAATGTTTAATTTAGAAAGTTTTATTTTGAAATGTAAGTCAATAACAACTGGCTGAAGCCACAGCCAATGGTGAAAGTCTTTGCGCGAGGAGCCCCCGCCCCATTTTGGAGGTTCTGCCTACTTTTGGAGTTCACGCCCCATTTTGGAGATCTCCGGTCTGCTTGCCGGAGGGGGGAGGGGGGTTAGGGTGGGGTCCACCTCGGTAGAAAGCACGGTCCGGGGGCACCTAGATCTAGGGCAGACCGAAAGGGCACTTAAGCGCAGGCGATTAAAGGGGCAAGGGCTCGAGCCGTCGAAACGCCACTAACGTTACTCCCCTGCTCCTCCGGAGTCTGTGCACGCCACTGGTCCAGGCTACAATAAAACTTCTATTTAACTCCACCACTCCATGTGCTGAGACAACTTGCCCCGCTTGCTGTAATGAACTGAACATTTTTACTGAACGGTGAAAATATTGTTCAGTTAGTAAAAAAAATAATTAATTAATTAATTAAAAAATAATTTCAATAAAAAACACAGGGCCTCCCCCCATAACGGAGCGTAATGGAGTTTTAATTGTGCGTGCAAAACCACACAGTAACTTTAAATTGTGTAATAACTAAAAAAAAGAGAAAGTAAGAAAAAAATGCAAATTAGAGTAGATTATATAATGCATTATGCATCACTGCTCAGTCTCGTTCTCTCTCAACTGAAATGGAAAAAAAAATTATGTTTCATTTGTTTATTTTTTTTGCCAAGATAAAATTACATTGTGTTTACAGACAAGTGGCTATAAGCTTTACAAAAATATTAATTCATAATTACATAAAATTAAAACCACAATCTCATTCTAGAAATGTACAATTTGTGTTGGACACACTTTGTGTAAATAAAGAGCTGTACAACAGGAGTAAAGTACCTTTTCAAAATTTTGCGATGGAAACATATAACATTTTGTACAAATACTATAAGAAATCTTAGCTGTACAATAAATAAAACAATAGTTCTCTATTCAAATGTCTTTAAGATGTCATGGGAACAGTCACTGTGGTCTTTAACATCCTCATTGTTCATAACACCACAAATAAATCACCCAAGACTCTGCATGCACACTCTCTCTCTCTCTCTCTCTCTCTCTCACACACACACACACACACACACACACAAGCACAAATTAAAACAAGCGGTATTAGATATTAAAAGTTCCTGAAGATCATCCTGCTGGGTTAAAATATCTTTCATTCTTTATGATATTACAAATACCTCGTCAGGATCCTTATTTTTGAGGCTCTTTATCCATTCTGGAAGGGCTCAGTAGGTCAGATTAGCATCCGGTAAATGATTATTAATTTAAATCTTAATTTTGAGCAAAAATGTGGAAAATGGAAGTTTGTGGACTGTAAAAGCTTAAGGTCTTTCCTACCAAAAGAGCAATGGAAATCACATTCCATTCATCTGACGGCACATGAGGAATTTGAAACAGCAAAACGTGGCAAAGTCTACTAGCTCAATAAAACTACTGAAATCCTATCAGCATATTTGCCATTTACAAAGTTTAGCTGAAATAGCTTTGCTCAGTGCTAGAACAGGCACACGTTTAAAAGCCTTTCAGTTGCCAAAGATGGGACTACTATATGAAAAAGCAACACAAAGGTTAATATTGCAAAAATTTGTAAGACACTCTGTTGTTGATCATCAGCAAAGAAATCCAATAAATCACGCAGGAAATAAATGGAATATAGACATCTGAATCAAAACTAGTTGTTTTCTTTGAATGCAGCAGCCATGCAAATGTTAACAGCAGCCGTGGATAAACCATCATATTTATAGACGTAGGGACAGCGAGAGCGGAGCCCCGGACTGCAGTGTTCACGCAGACAGTGGTGACGCCATGCGCTGAACATTCAGCCAATCAGAGAACAGAAGGAAGAAAGTACAGTGACATAAATAAAGTGACATGTAAAATATGAAGATTTGGAAGAGGTTGGTGGCAAGAAGAAAGGTTGAGACGTCAAGATGGAGACAGGAACAGCAGATGACAGAGATGGGATCACAAGTTTGGCCCATTCCCAGTGTGGAGAGAAACCCACAAGAAAAACAGCAGAAACAACACACAAATATTTAAAAAAAAAAGTATAAAAGGGTTTTCAGGGATTTCAATGGCTTTTACTGATAAATAATAATAATAATAATAATAAATCATTGTACATTATAATGTATTATAATCATATACTATATAATTATTGTCATTATTAATATTATTTTAATTATTATCAATTCAGATTACACCCTTTTCACCAGTCTAACCATTGTTTTTAAATGTAAGAGGTGAATTACTGACCACAGGCCAGATATTTGGTCATATGAACATCTTCAAAATGTAACCGGTTAAATCAATAAGCACCTTCCTTCTGAACCACTCATATTCAGAACAGTATCTGCTTCTGAATTTCTATATGGTGAACAATAAATGATCAATCACAAAAATCTTCACACATATTTGCAAACCAGACCAATCATTCATAACAGGCAAAAACCTTGGTAGCAGAAAAAACACTCACAAACAATACACTCTTTTTTTCATTACTGTCACTTACTGTTATTTTCCTCACCATATGATATCAGGTTTGACCAAATATATAATGGTTGATTCCATGCACAGCATCCTTCTGACACTCGCTACACTAAAAATCCAATGATGTAAAATTAAGAAGGCTCAGAATAGAGAAAAAACAATGCACAGGTCGGCTCCAAACCATCAGTTAGTTTTCATGCTCCATAAACTACACCCCCTAAAAAAGGGGGATCCGCAGCATGCTAGCGTTCCAGTCTAGGATACATACTCCTCAGACTTCCAGAAGTGCCCGGGGTGTGAGAGTCTGCGATTGAGCTTTGGCAGCTTCTCTAGTAAGTCTGACAGCTGAGTGAATGTTGGTCTGTCCTCAACCTTAAAGGACCAGCAGGCTGACAGGATCTCCTGCGATGCGAGTACAATGACCATGTTACATTATACACTTTTTATATCTATCTATACAATTATTAATATATAATAGCATTGATTTAATTTGGATTTGATTAGATGTATATAAGTAAATATAATATATCACACACACATATGTGTATATATATATATATGTGACCCTGGACCACAAAACCAAAAGTCGCTTGGGTATATTTTTAACAATAGCCAAAAAAACATTGTATGGGTCAAAATTATCGATTTTTCTTTTATGCCAAAAATCAGTAAGTAAAGATCATGTTCCATGAAAGTATTTTGTAAATTTCCTATTGTAAATATATTAAAACTTAATTTTTGATTAGTAATATGCATGGCTAAGAACTTCATTTGGACAACTTTAAAGGCGATTTTCTCAATATTTTGATTTTTTTGCACCCTCAGATTCCAGGTTTTCAAAAAGTTGCATCTTGGCCAAATATTGTCCTATTCTAACAAACCCTACATCAATGGAAAACTTATTGATTAGTAATATGCATGGCTAAGAACTTCAATTGGACAACCTTTAAAGCGATTTTCTCAAATATTTTGATTTTTTGCACCCTCAGATTCCAGGTTTTCAAAAAGTTGCATCTTGGCCAAATATTGTCCTATTCTAACAAACCCTACATCAATGGAAAACTTATTTATTCAGCTTTCAGATGATGTATAAATCTCAATTTCAAAAAATGGACCCTTATGACTGGTTTTGTGGTCCAGGGTCACATATATAGTTTTTTTTTAATATATATATACCAGGGCCAGACTCACCGTAACCTCCTTGCCCAAGCTTGTACCCTTCTGGGCCAGTAACGTTCTGATGCCTTCTCCACTTCCCAGCTGATAGATCAAAACTTCAGTCGGTTGGTTCATGATGGGCCATTCTTTGGCCTGGAGTTCAAACCAGATAGTGCTGAGAAAGATAAATTCAAAGTCAACTGATCAACTTCAGTGTTGGCTTGCAAAATATTGTAATTTGATTTCGAAAAAGCCTTTAAAATGAAGGACTGATCAGAAAAAGTCTTTGCTTTGAGAGAATTTTTTTTAAGGCAAAAATGAAACATTAACACCAAAACCAAATGTTTGCATTAGAGGCACTGTATTTGTGATGCAGATGTGGGAAAAGAGATGTGGCTTTTACCCAAAAGCGTAAACATCAGCAGCTTTTGAAAAGGGCAAACAGTCTTCTTGGTTTCCTGGCCCCATCTTTTGCACGATCTCTGGAGCCAGGTAATAGATCCACCCTCGTGGCAGCTTCAGTTCATTTTCCCGCCTACAAACAAACACATACGTTAATGAAGTTCTTAACAAAGCATACTGTATAATAAGACTCTTTTTATAATGACATGCACCCTACCTGTCCTCCTGGACCACTCCAGACATCCCAAAAAGACCGAAATCTGTGATGACAACTTTGTTTGAATCGTAAAATACATTCTTGGACTTCAAATCTTTGTGCACAATTCCCTTTGCATGGAGGTAACCCATTCCCTGTAAAAGGTAAAAACAGCAAAACGAAACTAAGCAAAACAGTTAAAAACATAGACAGTGTTTTAATGTGATTTGAGCTAAAGAAGCAAAATTTATGATATAACAATAATTTTTTTGCTGAGTTATTGAAGTTATTACATTTTAATGAAAAACTATGAAAGCATTTTTTTTGGGATAATAACATGCACTGATGAATCATTCAAAATAAAGCCAAAAACATGCATTACATGTGATGCTTCATACCTTTACGATTTCCTGAGCGATTTGTCTTATCTTGTTGATGTCAAGTTTAGAGTCCCTGACAACAGAGTACAGCGTCCGTCCTTTACAAAAGCTGCAGCAGGACAACATAAACACTGTAGATTACAATCAAAACACAAATGCTCTATAATATCACATATTACACATTCAAAACATACACTACTTTTCGAAGGTTTGGAATCAGTAAGAATTTTTTATTTTTCAAATAAAATCTCTATTGTCTAAAGATAAAGACACTAATGCTCAAATCAAGGCTGCATTTATTTGATAAAAAAAAAATTATATTGTGAAATATTACAATTTAAAAGAACTGTTTTCTATCTTAATATACTTTATGATGGAAAAGCTGAATTTTCAGCAGCCATTACGCCAGTCTACAGTATCACACAATCCTTCAGAAATTATTCTATGCTGATTTGGTGCTCAAGAAACATTTATTATTATCAGCTGTGCTGCTTAATATTTTTGTGGAAATCGTGATACATTTTATTGAGGATAATGAATAGAAAGAAAAGAAATTACTATTTGAAATAGAATTCTTTTGTAACATTACAAATGTCTTTACTGTCACTTTTGATCTATTTAATGCATCCTTGCTGAATAAAAATATTAAATTCTTTCTTTTAAAAAACAAAAACAAGGGCAGTGTACATGAATGATACAACATTGAGAGAGTTGAGAGAGGCGGACCTGGTGATAATGGCCAGATGGGGCGGGTTCATGCAGGCCCCCATAAACAGCACGACGTTCTCATGTCGCGTTTGCCTGTAGTTCATCACCTCCTTCTTGAACAGCTTTAGGTGCTCTTGGTTGTTACCGTCAATCTCTAACAAGCGAACGGCCACCTCTCCGTGCCAGCGGCCCCTACACACCTTTCCCCAGCGGCCTTTACCGATCAGCTCTCCGAGCTCCAGCTGCTCGAAAGGCACATCCCACTCCTGCAGGTAAACGCTGGTCTGGCTGGCCTTACGGCTTATGTGGTCCTTCCAGTAGCCCCTGCAATTGGGAAGGTCATCCACTTCATCACCTTCACTTTCATCATCCGAACCTTCCTGATCCTGACCGTCGTCCCCTTGCTGCTCCTCATCCTGAATGAGAAAATATAGTAACCAATTTAGTCAATTCTAGGGCCAAACATTTAAAAAATGTTTCCATATTCACATAGTCCAACATCGGTTTTGATTTTACACAATTCAAAATTTAGATGCAAGATAAAAAACTTCAGTATTGTATTTTTAGTGGTCACTACACATACACCACTGACTGCAAAAAACAACAACAACAACAAAAAACCTGTGACCACCACAATAAACTGGAAATTTTGCCCACAGATGCTTTCAATTCCTGGTAGTTCTGTGGGTAAAACATGTTTTTTGCGACACTCACCACAGCTTCCCTTTGGCCTGTTGATAACTGGTTGACGTTACCATCCAACTGATCTGTTTCTCTGCATGAAATATAGAACATACTAAACTCAGTAGTCTTTTACTAATCACTTTTAAATATTTAGCAGTATCAGAACTATGTATGATGTACAGTATGATCTAAATCATTTATAAAAGGATAGTTTACCCAAAAAATCTAAATGACTAAGTTTTCAAAGTTTTAGTTTTAATTAATAACAACATTTTTTTAGCGTATAATTACTTCAGTTTTGGCCTTTCCTCACAATGATTTCACAAATTGTCCATGAGTCAGTGCTGCCACATTGGTTCCATGTGAACGTAGTGTAAATTATTCATTCATGATGAGGCAATAGCCCTCAAGAACGTACCATGAGGAACCAAAACCGATGAGATATGCATTTCAATTGGCCGGGGTCAAAGTGATTCTAGAAATACTAAAGAAACAGTAATTAAGAAGTTTCGTCTTACCCGGTGTTGTAACCTCCATCTGAATGCGTGGTACTGGATACATCTGTGAGAAAAAAAGGAAATCTAGAGTCATATGTCAATGTTGATATTAAACATTCAGATTCCATTTAAAGGTGTACTCCACTTAAAAGTTTTGAAGTTGAAAGCAGTTGCTGGTCAAACTGCTGCCTATTTTTGTGAAACTGTGCTTTTTTCAGGATTCTGTGATGAATAGAAAGTAAAAAAAAAACTGTCAATGTTGATATTAAACATTCAGATTCCATTTAAAGGTGTACTCCACTTAAAAGTTTTGAAGTTGAAAGCAGTTGCTGGTCAAACTGCTGCCTATTTTTGTGAAACTGTGCTTTTTTCAGGATTCTGTGATGAATAGAAAGTAAAAAAAAAACACAATTTATTTGAAATATAGATTTTTTTTGTAAGATTATAAATGTCTTTACTGCTACTTTTTATCAATTTAATGTGTTCTTGAATAAAAGTATTCATTTCATATATACTTTATCTATAGTGGGTATAGAAAAAAAATCACCCCCCTTTAAAATCACATTTTGTTGCTTTGCAACCTGAAATGAAAACGGACACAGTTTTTGTTTTATCCAGCTGCATTTACTCAGTGCAACATATAACATCCAAGTGAAAGATATAAGACCAACACGTCAGGAAAAAATAAATAATAATAATCAAGGAACAGAGGAATTGTTGATTAAAGTCGTTATTTTTGTTTACTTTGTGCACAAAAAGTATTCTCGTAGCTTCATAAAATTACGGTTGAACCACTGATGTAACATGGACTATTTTAACAATGTCCTTACTACGTTTCTGGACATGGGAACGTTTCAGTTGCATTGCTGTCTATACAGGGTCAGAAAGCTCTCAGATTTAATAAAAAATATCTTAATTTGTGTTCTGAAGATGAACAAAGTATTATGGGTTTGGAACGACATGAGGGTGAGTAATTAATGACAGTATTTTCATTTCTGGGTGAATTATCCCTTTAATATAATATAACCTGTACAAATGAATAATATATGTTTTCAGGATCTCCATACACACCACAAAAGGCACACAGAGAAATGAAAGCACAAAATACTGCAAAAATAAAGCAATTCCCATAGATGACCACTAGGAAGCGACACACCACAGTATAAGCACTACTAGCAACTTAGGCCCTGTCTCAAATGGAACACTTCATGTGCACTTGCGGTCTTACGGACTTACAATGGCCGCCGCGTGCGTATGTCCATTATGTCCACGAGACCGTAGGGTGTCCCATTCATCATTTTCCTCGATCCGCACTTCTGCTGAGCCCACACTGGGGCAAGCTCCGCAGCAGACTTCTACCCGACAGTCAAAGCGGCATTACGTCATGAAAGTGCAGACTCAGAGGAAGACCGCGAGGGTTTAGGGTGCCATTTGGGACAGGGCCTTAATCTCAAATTGCTGTGTTCACTACAGCTGAAGGTCTCAAGATTGGAAAGCATAGTTGAGTTGTCTGACAAAGTCTCTGATAACTCAATGAGGAACTCAGACACCATGCCTGAAGAGATTGTTAACTCACCAGGGAAGACAAACTGTTGTCTATGCTGAAAGTAGTAGGCAGCTATTGAGTGGGACAAATAGACAAATGTCCGCAAGGAAAAGAGTAAGACCCAGTTAAACAACTTGCTTGTTATGCATCAGCGACAATTACTTAAGCAGATATTAGTAGGTTAGTATTCATCCATTGAAGATGTTATTTCAGAGCATTGGAAACAAGAAATGAGTGCTTAAAGGGGTCATATGATATGCTAAAAAGAACATTATTTTGTGTATTTGGTGTAATGAAATGCGTTTATGCGGTTTAAGGTTCAAAAAACATTATTTTTCATTCATACTGTACATTATTGTTTCTCCTCTTTGCCCCGCCTTTCTGAAACGCATCGATTTTTACAAAGCTCATCGGATTGAAAAGCGAGGTGTGCTGTGATTGGCCAGCTATCCAGTGCGTGTGATTGGCCGAATACCTCAAACGTGTGACGGAAATGTTACGCCCCTTACCATACTGTGATGCCGTGTCATGATGAGGCAATAGCCCTCAAGAACGTACCATGAGGAACCAAAACCGATGAGATATGCATTTCAATTGGCCGGGGTCAAAGTGATTCTAGAAATACTAAAGAAACAGTAATTAAGAAGTTTCGTCTTACCCGGTGTTGTAACCTCCATCTGAATGCGTGGTACTGGATACATCTGTGAGAAAAAAAGGAAATCTAGAGTCATATGTCAATGTTGATATTAAACATTCAGATTCCATTTAAAGGTGTACTCCACTTAAAAGTTTTGAAGTTGAAAGCAGTTGCTGGTCAAACTGCTGCCTATTTTTGTGAAACTGTGCTTTTTTCAGGATTCTGTGATGAATAGAAAGTATAGAAAGTAAAAAAAAAAACACAATTTATTTGAAATATAGATTTTTTTTGTAAGATTATAAATGTCTTTACTGCTACTTTTTATCAATTTAATGTGTTCTTGAATAAAAGTATTCATTTCATATATACTTTATCTATAGTGGGTATAGAAAAAAAATCACCCCCCTTTAAAATCACATTTTGTTGCTTTGCAACCTGAAATGAAAACGGACACAGTTTTTGTTTTATCCAGCTGCATTTACTCAGTGCAACATATAACATCCAAGTGAAAGATATAAGACCAACACGTCAGGAAAAAATAAATAATAATAATCAAGGAACAGAGGAATTGTTGATTAAAGTCGTTATTTTTGTTTACTTTGTGCACAAAAAGTATTCTCGTAGCTTCATAAAATTACGGTTGAACCACTGATGTAACATGGACTATTTTAACAATGTCCTTACTACGTTTCTGGACATGGGAACGTTTCAGTTGCATTGCTGTCTATACAGGGTCAGAAAGCTCTCAGATTTAATAAAAAATATCTTAATTTGTGTTCTGAAGATGAACAAAGTATTATGGGTTTGGAACGACATGAGGGTGAGTAATTAATGACAGTATTTTCATTTCTGGGTGAATTATCCCTTTAATATAATATAACCTGTACAAATGAATAATATATGTTTTCAGGATCTCCATACACACCACAAAAGGCACACAGAGAAATGAAAGCACAAAATACTGCAAAAATAAAGCAATTCCCATAGATGACCACTAGGAAGCGACACACCACAGTATAAGCACTACTAGCAACTTAGGCCCTGTCTCAAATGGAACACTTCATGTGCACTTGCGGTCTTACGGACTTACAATGGCCGCCGCGTGCGTATGTCCATTATGTCCACGAGACCGTAGGGTGTCCCATTCATCATTTTCCTCGATCCGCACTTCTGCTGAGCCCACACTGGGGCAAGCTCCGCAGCAGACTTCTACCCGACAGTCAAAGCGGCATTACGTCATGAAAGTGCAGACTCAGAGGAAGACCGCGAGGGTTTAGGGTGCCATTTGGGACAGGGCCTTAATCTCAAATTGCTGTGTTCACTACAGCTGAAGGTCTCAAGATTGGAAAGCATAGTTGAGTTGTCTGACAAAGTCTCTGATAACTCAATGAGGAACTCAGACACCATGCCTGAAGAGATTGTTAACTCACCAGGGAAGACAAACTGTTGTCTATGCTGAAAGTAGTAGGCAGCTATTGAGTGGGACAAATAGACAAATGTCCGCAAGGAAAAGAGTAAGACCCAGTTAAACAACTTGCTTGTTATGCATCAGCGACAATTACTTAAGCAGATATTAGTAGGTTAGTATTCATCCATTGAAGATGTTATTTCAGAGCATTGGAAACAAGAAATGAGTGCTTAAAGGGGTCATATGATATGCTAAAAAGAACATTATTTTGTGTATTTGGTGTAATGAAATGCGTTTATGCGGTTTAAGGTTCAAAAAACATTATTTTTCATTCATACTGTACATTATTGTTTCTCCTCTTTGCCCCGCCTTTCTGAAACGCATCGATTTTTACAAAGCTCATCGGATTGAAAAGCGAGGTGTGCTGTGATTGGCCAGCTATCCAGTGCGTGTGATTGGCCGAATACCTCAAACGTGTGACGGAAATGTTACGCCCCTTACCATACTGTGATGCCGTGTCCTGGCCGGAGCGACAAGACAAAAACATTAAAACCCATTATAAACGAGACATTTGTTGCATCCATTGGGGACATAATTACGGATTATAATGAATTACACAGTCTTTTTACGCGTTGCATCGTGAGCGGAGGCCGGCGGGCTAGAGTGAGGAACGGCCAGCGGGCTTGAGAACGGCGCGGCCGGTGGGCTTGCGACAGCCACATGTGACGACCCCGGGCTGGACTCCGCTTTGTCCCCGGTGAAAGCCGATCCGGCGATCCTCAGCGCGAAGTTGATGTATTTCCTCAGCGACCAGCACGGATCAGCTCCAGGCATGACGAAGCGTATATCGTCCTCTTTTGGAAGGCCAAACAAAGTAGTTTCGCTTTCACAACGAAACACACAGCACCTTCACGACATGGCGGCGGTGGCAACAACAATACTACAGCGAGAATAAAAGTTACGCCTTCTTTCTTTGCGTGAACATTTGGGCGGCGTTATGCAAATCTTCCCACATCGTGACGTAGACATGTGGGGGCGTGTTAGAACGAGCCGTTTTAGGTAGGCGTGGCTGACTCTTAACTTTTATAAAGAATATCTCTTTGGATTTGAGACTTTAGTCTTTGCAACCTTACAGATCTTCTTTATGCACCAAGAGCTTGTAACACTCCAAAGAGAAAGGAAAAATTGAAATCGCATCATATGACCCATTTAATAATGCTCTGCTACAAAAAGAGTGACCTTCTGTAGTGTAGAAACTTAAACGGGTTTACACACGGGCATCAGTGGTATCAGTGTAAACGAGACTAACCTGGGAAGTGAAAGCGACTGTCAATGTGACCCTTAGGGGAGGGGTTGGGTGGCGGGGTGGCGCTTGGAGGGTTGCTCTGACCGAAGGGGGCAGGTGAGGAAGGGGTGGAGGAGGTGGTGGAGGAGGGGTTACTACTGGAGTCCAGGTGACTCAGTGATGGAGGGTGGTCCTGAAGGGTGGGACACATATCTTTAAAAACCTTTTCCAAAAAAACAAAACAAAACAAAAAAACAATCAAATAATGTGTAAAAATGTATGTTTGAACAATTAAGACAATTCATAAAATAGAATTTGAAAGAGAAATTTTATGGGTTGTCACTAGCATCACCAAATTGAGTTGTAAAAATGAATATAAAGATATAAAAATAATGTATTTTTAAAATAAAATAATAAATATAATATAAATATAAATAACATATAATATAAATATAGTATATATTAATAATAATAATAATAATGAGGAGTTAGTATGGCGTAACTCTCAACTTCCTGGTTTGTGTGGTTTGCTACATGCCTTTTTGTTTATTGTCTTCGGTAATGTTCCGTACTGCTGAGACTCTGCTGGTCGCTCCACCTGGTTATTGATACCTGACGGTACTGACTCTGTTCTTCTGATCTTGTTTGGAACTGAAAGAACAGAACAGAACTTTAGATCACCTGCAAAGCTGTCTGAATGCATAGTATACTACAGCTTGTACAAAATCTTACATTGTGCAAATGAAATCCTGCACTTAGGGGCCTCTTTGGTACATTTATTGTGGCACTTCACCCTAAAAGAGATGAAAGCAAACATTAGCAGGAAGATACTGGTTTGCAGATGTGGTTTTTCTAAATGATTCCTGTGTTTGCTTACTTGCAATGTTTGCATTTAACACCAAACATCATGTTCTTCTTGCACACCTGACACGTCTGAGACAACCAGGACTTGGTGGAAAACCTTTGAGGAGGCACAAAAAGAAAGCCAATTTCAGGTGTGTTGGAAGTTGGAAAACAAACACAGATGCAAGAATGAAAACAAGCAAAGGTTAAATGATCAGTACCTGTGTGTGACATCCAGACCGATATCCTTTCTCATGATTAGTGGAGAGCTTCCGTGGGATGCAACATTGTCTATATGATGTTAGAGAAAAATGGATTGGACTCAAAATGGATTAAAAATGAGTTTGGTGTTAGCATCTCTAAGCTTTAGAGTTGACTGGATGAATTTTTCACTGCAGTGCATTCTGGGAATGCTGTACACATGAACAATATGTGTAAAGCTGCCTTTAGCCAAATCAACATATTTCATAAGCAAACATAACACAGATGTCTAACTGTAGCCTCTTCATCTGGAGTGCAACTACAGTATGATGAATCAAAATGTTATCTTGGTAGGGAGCTCACTAGTTTTTGAAACAAATTTGTATTTACTAATTAATAAAAAACACTTACTTCTTACTCCCGCAGAGTCTCCCAGATGACTGGGGGTATTTGGTAGAATGCAGGGGGAACGGGCAGACAACAGTGGTGACTGTGAGGCAGAGTCTTCCCAGCCGTTTCCTCCACCGTTTACCTGCACGTTCAGGAGCGGCTTATTTTTCTTTCCACTCCTGCAGGGCGGAGGACACAAGACTACATTTGGTATCTGGGTAGCTGCCATCAAATACTAAAATCAGTGTGACATGCTAGACTGCATTTAAACAGGATTTTGGTGTTTCTTTGTATTATTATTTTTTTTTCCAAATTAAATTATTAAATAATTAATAATTAAAAGAATAAATAATTATAATAATAAATAGTTAATAATTACAATAACAATTAAATAATTTAATTATAAACAATACTTTGCCATTCAGCTTTTATAACCTTATGTTACCTGAGATAATACATGGATGGAACATTTGAACATGAAACAATAATTTTTACACTGCAGAACCATTTAAAATCAACTTGTGTAAAGCAAAAACCATATACAATTTAACCTAAAATCCCTAACACTCAGCACCCGCAACATTTCATTGGAATTATCACAATGCAACCAATTATATAATTCCCAGAAAGCTCTCATAATGACTCATTCTGCACCTCCCTGCAAAAAAATCTTTCTATAGTACTTTAAATAAACACTCATCTGCAACTTGTCCACCACAAATATTTAAAAAATGAGGTGCAAATACAGGCGTGCAGCTTCACAGGCAGGGAGTTTTAGCGGTGGACTTCAGTTCACATGCATATTATGAGGAGGAGCTCCAATCCTGCAGACATTTATTGGCTTAGAGGAGCGGGAATAATCAAGCACTGGACGCCAGCGAGTCTGAGAAGGGGTCTGACCTCGGCCTTGAGCAAACAGGAAACACTGGGGCTACGTGAAGGGGCGTGTAGAAATACTCTCCAAAAACTGCCTGGAATTGGGCCATCAGTGATCTCAGATGACACAGCAGTCCACTCCCACAGACCGAACACACGCTGGGCAGGGCGACACAGTATGGTATATGTATGAACAGCGTAGTGTTAATTTTGCCAGCCATTTTTTATTTAGTCTTAGTCTTTTAAATCAGTCTTATTCCTGGTGTCAGATTTACTTTTTAGTTATTATCCTATTTAGTCAATCTTGTCCAGTTTTTGTTTAGTCAAGTTTTAGTCGACTAAAAGTCTGAGCATTTTAGTCTAGTTTTAATCACTGAAAACTTCGAAGTGCTGTATAATGGTTAAACTAATATGTATATATATATATACATTTTTTTGCTCAAAATTATAATTGCAATGATTGTTGTCATTTGAGAAATTTATTTTTGCACTTTCACCAATAAGCACAAATCAATAGAATGTGGACTCAGACACACGGTTTATTTGACCTCATCTAGTGTACAGATTTATTATAGGCTATTTAATATATAAATTAATATCAAAGACTTAGATATGCACTCTCTCTGCACATTATGAAAACTGGTAAAAACAAACAAAAAATATTATAACCAGGGGTGCACATAAGTGTTTCAGTCTGGTTCTCATACGAGCACCTAGAAATTTGGTTTGGTGCTCACACTGCACATATAGTGTGACCTATTAAATATAACTATAAAAAAATAATCATAGTAATAATATTATTATTGCACTTTATTTAGTTAGTTTTTTTTAATCAAATAATAAAATGTGATAATCCTATTATATTTTAAAATAAAAAGTGAGTATTAAATAAAAATACAATTATTTTTATAGTACACCTAAAAATACAATGCTTATATTTACTTAAAAATTTTTTTTTTTTTTTTTACTTTTTACGGTTTGATTTCTTTATATGAATTTTCATCATTATACAGTATTACAGTTAGTCGATATAAAACGGTGATTGTGCATTAACAGCTGTCAGTCATGTCGGTACGCCAGTGAGCGTTCTGAACTTATTTCCACAGTGCATTTTTTATTTTGGTAGCACATGCACACCTGTGTACCACTTAATATGCTCCCGATTATAACAGTATTACAAATTCCTGATAGCAATTCCAATCATTCCAAATTGCAACAATTTTCTCTATTAAAACAACAGCGGTTGAGTAAGTGCATTTACTCAGCAGTCAGCAACCACAATCGCAAACAAACTAGCCGAGATCTCATGACAGAACACAGACTGGCTGAATGACACTTTCATTTAAGCTGAACATCTCACATGGACATTGCAAAACTTCGGCTTACATGTTTGTCTGTGTTTCAGATCAGAAGGATTTCTTTATTTATGCTGCAGGGCCAAAAATCATTCCAAATTATTGCTGAGTTAGGCAACATGTTGTTACGTGTAGCAAATGTTGTGCAATGTATAACTTTCATCTGGATTTATAGAGTCAGCATCCTGCTCAGTTTACACACAATGTAACAAAGATATAGCATGTTATCATTTATTTCCCGTTTCAAACTTGTACGACTTTCTTTCTTCTGTGGAACACAAATAGTCCATTTTTATTTTTCAGTATCATGGCCAATCTTCTTATTAAAGTGAATGAGGAATGGGGCAGTCAAAAGACCAAAATGAAAAAAAACACCATGAAAGTATCATAAAAGTGGTCCATATAACTTTAATGCTATATTTAAATATTCATGAAATAATTCGATAGCTTTATATGCAAACCGTAATTTATTATTCTTTGAAAATTTTGGCATATTCAATATGTCACAGTGGTTAGCAGCCCACTAAAGAAAGATTGGAGGTTTGGAGCAACATGTGGGTGACTAAACGATGACTGAATATTCATTTCAAACGGTGAAATTGTGATTATGTGTGTAATGATAAGAATCTGGAAATTCTTAGTCAAGTTTAAAATGAAATGTCAGCCTATATTTCTGTTAAGTTTCTAGTCTGTACATTGCTGTTAACCCTGGCACTTAATCTTATGGTTTGAAGAGGCATTGCTTATGCTTCAGATTTTATCTACATCGTTCAGATGAATATATTTCATTCCCATCACCTCAGTGCATTACTGCATGACTTTATCATGCGGTAAGTGTTTCTGAGAATCTGATATCATGTTTATAGTGCTAGGTTGTATCAGGAAGATCAGTAAAAAAAAATCAGTACATACTGTAACACAGGCTAATGGTCAGATAGATGCATTTTGGTTACTGACAGCGATGACAGTTTCATTATATTTATATACTGAATTGTAATTGGTTTTCTTTCTTGCATATACACTACATATTAAAAGTTTGGTGTAGGTTTAAAAAAAAATTTTTTTTAAAGAAATTAATACTTATATTCAGCAAAGACTCATTCACTTGATGACAGTAAAGACCGTTAAGATTTCTGTTTTTAAACAAATATCATTCTTTTGAACTTTACATTTATTAAAAACACGCTGAATAGAAATTTACCACAGTTTCCACAAAAATATTATACAGAAAAAAACAGTTTTCAACATTGAAAATAATCAGAAATGCTACTTGAGCACCAAATCAGCTTATTAGAATGATTTCTGAAGGATCTTGTGACACTGAAGACTGGAGTAATGATGCTGAAAATTCAGCTTCGGCTTCACAGGAATAAATTACAAATTAGAAAACAACCTTGGCAAGCATGACTTCCCCCCGCCCCAAAAAAAAGTGGTAGAAAATATTTTAGAGAACCTAAACTTTTGAACAGTAGTGTACCTGCATGCTGAATTGTGATTGGTCAATTTTCTTTGCACATATTTATAGCCACAGAATGACTATGTGTGGATTTCTGTTTGTAGCTGACTTACAACTGGATACTTTTTTTGTTATTACAAAAACAAAAGCATGTCTGATATGGCATTTCATTTACACTGAACCAGTGCCTACACTAGGATTTCGTTCTGCAATTTCTGAAATGCATATCTAGTTTGCATTCAAATATTTGCAGTGGTAAAATGGCTAAATTTGCTCCAATCTAGACAGTCACTTTTAAAGTCACCATAAAGCCCAACAGCAGACTGATATAAATCAATACTGCCATACTTGACATCATATGGCTGTCAAAATAATCTCAAATCAAACTTTGAGAAGAGATCATTATGCCATGGAGTAATACATCCATAAATAAAATATTATTCAGTGCTGAACTTACTTCTTGGGTGTAGGGTCGTCGATCCGGTTGGCCAGTTGGCTCTGGCTCTTGCTGCGCGTGAGAGTGATGTTGGGCAGGAGGTTTAGCAGCTTACGGGATGGAGGTGGTGGAGTTCGTGGGGGCTTTAGTTTGCCATACCTTCTCTGTGGCGGTGTGGCTGGAGGGGTGGACAGCAGCCCAGAGGTGCAGCGGTTCAGCTGCGGGGAGGATGAAAAAGGGTCCATCAGCCCATCACAGTGTGGGTGGACAATTGTAGGGAAGTCCGTTGAGGGTAGGGCAGAAACAGAGACACAGGAACGAGGGGCAGGGAAAGCAGAAGGAGGGGGCCAGCTGGTTGGGTTGGGACTGTAAAACTGATGTGCACGCATAGAACAAGACAGCGGATCAGCAGAGGTACTGTCACGGTGAGTGGGTTCTGCTATCCACGGGATACCCTCTTTCCTCAGAGCTCCCCCTAAAACAGAAAGAGTGAGAGACAATTCAGAAGCAGGTGGATGATCAACGCAATGCAGGGCTCCAGAACTCAACTCAAATGACTGCTCACCAGTGTTATTTTAGTGTTATTTATATACTATTATAGTATATTTATTGATATTTTGAATAAGCCTTTATTTTTATATGTTTTGTTGTAATTTTAGTGTACGTTATAGTATTTAAAATGTATAGTATATACAATTTTATTTAGTTTTATTTTATTTTTATTTCAGTATTTTTAGTACTTCAACTTATTTGATTTCAGTTAGTTGCCAAGGCAACATTTCTAATTTTAATTTTTTTTTTATGTTTTTAAGTTTTATGTTTTATTATATTAAATTAAAGCAGTGAAAAGTATTTTAACTTTTCAGTTAACAATGACAACTGTTGTTCACAAATGCAATCAAAATTTAACTTTTGCCATTGGCGATGGTCTGGAAAACTTAGTGTGCCGCTATATATGGTTTTGTCAAATAACAATTCATGAGCATCTCATCATGTATTTTAATACATATTAAAATGGGTGAATTTTTTAGCATTAATTCAGTCTTCAGTGTTACACGATCCTTCAGAAATCACTTTAATATGCTGATCTGGTGCTCAAGAAACATTTCTTATTATTGTCTTAATTTATTTCCGTTTCACTGCTTAATATTTTTGGGGAACAGTGATATATTTTTTCAGCATTCTCTGAATAGAAAGTCCAAAGGAACAGTATTTACTTGAAATAGAATTATTTTGTAAAATAATAAAAGTCATTATAAAATACATTCTTGCTGAATAAAAGTGTTCATTTATTTCTTTCAAATTTTTTTGTCTATATGCTAAAATACTAAAATGGCCAACAACTAAAATCAGAGCCTAGAGCAGGAAGTCGTAGTGTGCTTGAAGTGTGTGTGGAGGAAGGAGTCAGCAGTGACCTGTGTCAGTAGCGCTCTTGAGACAGGAGAGGGCAGCAGTGATGCGGGAACACTCCTCACTGCTAGAGCCCAGTCTTTTCATGGTGTCTTCCACCTGCGCACTGGACATTTGCAGCAGAGCATCCAGAGACAGCTTCACAGGGACGGCCTGGAAGACAGAAGAAAACATTAATCATGGCATTTATAGGCAGAAATGGACACAGGTGATTAATTGCACATTATTCAACATCATACATCTAAACTGATATTTAAAACAACAGCACTAGATATTCACTTCATGACTCAGTATTATCTTATTTGGCCAGTATTTGACCAGAGTCTATGGCATTTGTGTGGCTGTAGACAGACAGAATAGAGTCTCTATATCAATTAGAGAAAGATTAGGTGATAAAGCCCCCTGGAATCCCCCTGCCGCCACTAAGACTGCTGGTATCTCCTGGCACCAGACTGAGCCAATGTCCAGATACCAGTTTTCTTTCTCTGTCTGCCCATCTCTGTTCCATTCCTCCACCCTACAACATTCCTGCACTCTTTGGCATCTCCCTGCCGTATTTCAATTCTCACCCAAAACACACACACACACTCTCTCTTACTCAAACACATGACTGAGAAGCTGCCCAGCAACAGTTATAGTTGTGGTCAGTGTAGTCTCCATAGTAAATGAATAGATAAAAGGACACATGAGGCACTTTGGTCTAAAGGATCAAGGGAGGTACATAAAGTCTATCAATAGAGAAAATGGGGTGAATCAGAATCATCAACACAGGGTTAGGGTTTTGATTATATAGTGCACATCAACATAAAGCGGTTTCAGATGGTGGATGGTCAAACATTGCTAAACATTAACAAAACAGACCAATTAGGTGAATAGCAATGTGTGTGTCTGGTCCTATGGAATCGTGCAACTACAGCTGTGTTTACCGATAGCAGGGATGTGTGTGTGTGTGTTTCACACACAGCTATATAAGCTTCACTTCAAGGACAAAGCTATCAATTAAATGTGGAAGGTTTTCCATTTCCCAAAGTGACACTACCTGAGTCACCCTGGATTGACAGAAAACAAATTTTCATCTCCAACACTCCTTACTTTTCTTTTATGCAAAATTCACACACTTTTATTTCACACCATTCACTGTCATCAATCAAATTATAGAACCAGAACTAAAGGTTGTAATATACAGTATACTATATACGTGTTGTTACGGTTAACTAAAACGAATAATAAACTAAAAAAAAAAAATTCAGTAATATAAAAAATCTAATATAATACACAAAATAAAAGAAATATTATATGAAATTTTTTTACTTAAAAAACTGAACTAAAGTTTAAAGTACTAAATTTACATTCAACATGAACATAAATAAATTAAAGCTAAACAGAAATATTTTTTTAAATGGCAAAAGCACTTAACAAAACTACTAAAACTGAAACTAAAATGAAAATAAACTAAAAATAGAAGCTAAACTATAAAAATCTAAATTTTAATAAATATTATAGTATATAAACAATACAAAAAAAAATAACATTAGAGTATATAAATATAATTCATATAAATATTCAGCTGTTCCTCTTTAAAAAGAAAATGTATCAGCTGTATGTAAAGTGAGCCACATTTATTTTAGTTTTTTGGCTTTTTTTATTTAACAATTTACTTGTGGAACCATATCAAGATCCCGGTATCTCTGAAATTGAACCATATATTGCCTTTAAAATTAGGACACCATAAAAAAAAAGTAAGTTTGTTAGTCTGATTCTGTACTAATTATTGATTTGTTTAAAAATGAAAACCAAAAGTGATATAAGTAAAAAACAAAACAAAAACAAGGTATATGCATATCCCCATTTACACACGTAATTGTGTTTGTATGAGGTGGGTGTGTGTAATACACCAAATCAAAAACAAGTTAAACAGCCTTCTAAATGACATGCACGGCACTCAGGGGAATGGAAATCTCCCAGCATCCTCATGGAGACTTCCTTTTTGAACAAGAGCCAGAGATTAGAATTAAGAGCATAGATCTCTTCTCAACAAATACTACAACATCATCCACTCATTTAGCTTATAACCAATATGAACTTAAGCCGAGTCTAAATCAAACCAATAAGCATAATCTCTACACAAACATACAGTAACATGAATACATATTTATCCAATGGACATATTAATGTTTATTCTCTCTTCTGTCATTCAGAAAACACAACAGAATGCATAACGAGGATGTAAAATGCACCTCTTGATTGCTCTATACGACGTGTACCTACGTCCAAGTTAATAAGTACATGAATTACTGTGTTAAAACAGACAAGCTTGGGCAGAGAGCAGGTGAAATGACACATACCGATACCGAGGTGATGTCTGAACACGCCTTTTACCTGCATTTATGAGCTGACGTAACACAGGGAGTGATGCTCTGAACATAAAAGCAAGACACAGCATTACGATAGCTTCCATCCAAACAAACACTCACAAACTCCCACCCACTGCAATTAAAATCACCCAGGTGAACTCCCCTAACAAACAATTCTTTAAGATATGTCGTTATCAGGGACAGTTTCTGCTGGTCTGTCAGTAAAGCTTCACATGAATCTACAATCAAACAGAAAAAGTGTGACAGTGGGTGCTTACAAATGAAATAAATAGATCAAAATCACCAAACTAAAATGAAAATAAACTAAAAATAGAAGCTAAACTATAAAAATCTAAATGTTAATAAATATTATAGTATTTAAACAATACAAAAAAAAATAACATTAGAGTATATAAATATAATTCATATAAATATTCAGCTGTTCCTCTTTAAAAAGAAAATGTATCAGCTGTATGTAAAGTGAGCCACATTTATTTTAGTTTTTTGGCTTTTTCCGCCTTCAACAAAGAGCTTCAGTGGAATTTCAACTTGATAAGTATCTCAAACAAATGGAAAACAAGGAATTTCCTCACAAGCTTGTGAGTCTGCAAGCCTCTTGACATGAGCCTGATGTGTTCAAGTATAGCGTTAGTAGACATCTGCCGTTGGTACTTCTGTTTGCAGACTTTCTATGACCACAGAGGCTTGCATGCAGGCAGGAAACCGACAAACATCAAAAACAAAACACAGTTGACAAAGTCTTAAAATGAGACTCTAAAATATGAAGCAGTCAAGCTTACTATACCATGAGAGATTCTCCACTGAAGTTGTCCTTTACTAAATCTCATATCCCAGAAACAACAAACCGAAGTCTCTCCTCAAAGTCTCAAGTCAGTCACGCTGTGAGAGCTGCTCCCTTCCAACCCAAACTTCCCCTCCTACTCGTCCTGTCCCTCCTCCCTTTCCCCACTGTCCCTCCCCTCTATCCCTCTTTCCTTCCTGTTAACATGCCTGGGAAGTCTCTCCACAGCTCTGGACACTCCTCCTAAAATCACATGGTCACCAATAGATGCATTTGGTTTGTCAAATCACCAAATGCATGAATATGACAACTTAACAACTTCCATGTTAATGTCAAATTAGTACAGTTTTTTCATTTAGAAAAAAAAAATTCAATACATTTTCAAAAAAAAAATTTATGGGAAAAAGTGGTTATTTTAGCCATAGTGGCACAACTTAATTATTAAAAGGTCAATTTTGTCACTTTTATGTGACAAATTTGTATTTTAATAAATAAATACAAAATACCAATTTGTCTCATAAAAGTAACAACTAATTAATTGATTGATTTTAAAAATTGCAACTAAACTTGATAGCCGTGAATTTTCAGCTTCAACATCTTGTTTTTAATACTGAAGTTGTCCTTTACTAAATCTCATATCCCAGAAACAACAAACCGAAGTCTCTCCTCAAAGTCTCAAGTCAGTCACGCTGTGAGAGCTGCTCCCTTCCAACCCAAACTTCCCCTCCTACTCGTCCTGTCCCTCCTCCCTTTCCCCACTGTCCCTCCCCTCTATCCCTCTTTCCTTCCTGTTAACATGCCTGGGAAGTCTCTCCACAGCTCTGGACACTCCTCCTAAAATCACATGGTCACCAATAGATGCATTTGGTTTGTCAAATCAGAGGCCAAATGCATGAATATGACAACTTAACAACTTCCATGTTAATGTCAAATTAGTACAGTTTTTTCATTTAGAAAAAAAAAATTCAATACATTTTCAAAAAAAAAATGTATGGGAAAAAGTGGTTATTTTAGCCATAGTGGCACAACTTAATTATTAAAAGGTCAATTTTGTCACTTTTATGTGACAAATTTGTATTTTAATAAATAAATACAAAATACCAATTTGTCTCATAAAAGTAACAACTAATTAATTGATTGATTTTAAAAATTGCAACTAAACTTGATAGCCGTGAATTTTCAGCTTCAACATCTTGTTTTTAATGAGAAAAAGTGTTCTTTCTGACAATTTCAACACTTTTGTCCAAAAAACAAAACCTTTAAAATGGACTTGCCATGCTATAAACTAGTTAAACAATGTTTTCTTACTTTTATTCTTTAATTTTGCACTCCTAAAATGCTAAATTGAATTAAAACAGATCCAACGTCTCACAAGACTCTTTTCTGATCCAATCTGTTGTTTTTGTGTAAATGCCCCCAAGAAACACTTCTGGTAGTGGTTGGATGAACTTGAAACCAACTTTATTATACAGGGTTTCCTTAATACAAATTATGCAACTAGTCTTTCTGGCAGCCCACTGATTAGTCGACTTTTAAAATATGCAATTTTGCACATCTTTATTGTCAGCTCCACAACCGCTAACGGAGCAGACATTACTGATACCACACAAATTCCACTGCTCTACAAAAATACATTTATGAGGCTATTAACAGAGCAGGATGTCTTTTGACTGTGTGACTGTGAAACAGAGATTAATGAGGGTTAGGCTGGCCTAAGTCCTTCTTTGACCTGTCACCATACATTTTGTGCATGAGTGCTCATCCCTGGGCCAAAAGAGAGGCCACATTAGAGGAACAAAGGCGAGCGAGAGAGGGGGTACAGCACAGGAAACAGAGGTTTGGGTGAGATTGCATTCGTCACAGACTCTTTTTCTTTCTATCTATTTCTCTTTATCTTTGCCTTAAGGAAGGCCTCCAGTAGATCCACAGGATGTGACCCACAAAAAAATATGATTCACACAACCACTCCTGCCTGTGCCCTTTAGACTTACTCAATAACACATGTTGGCATGTTGTGGACTGCCTAAACTCAAACGCTCCAAACCCTGGTTGATTTAAATTAAGCATTATATTTCATAAGTGACTCTCAGTCCATCACCAGCAACAGGAACAAACTGAAAAAACAACACAAAATTGGATGGTGTGTCATGGTTGTTGCTGCACTTTCACTCTTATTGAGCAATGGGAAACCCCATCACTGCTGCACCCGGGAACATCAAGGAATGAGTCACAATATACAAAATAATTCAAGTGTAAAGACACCAACTTGTGACATCAGTTTATACTCACTGACTCTCACAGACAACGGACATGCATACAGTGGGTACGGAAAGTATTCAGACCCCCTTACATTTTTCACTCTTTGTTATATTGCAGCCATTTGCTAAAATCATTTAAGTTAATTTTTTCCTCATTAATATACACACAGCACCCCATATTGACAGAAAAACACAGAATTGTTGACATTTTTGCAGATTTATTAAAAAAGAAAAACTGAAATATCACATGGTCCTAAGTATTCAGACCCTTTGCTCAGTATTTAGTAGAAGCACCCTTTTGATCTAATACAGCCATGAGTCTTTTTGGTTATTTTAGCATTATTTAAACTCTATTATAGTTGTCATTCATATTTTAAATTAGCTTTTATTTTTATATTTTCAGCTTTCATTTGAATTCTAGTTCAATTTCAGTTTATTTTTATTTCAGTAGTATTTTAGTTCAGTTTTAACTTTTATTTATTTCCAGTTAGTCCAAACTAACTTATTTCAGCCAAGGAAACATTTCGTTTTTTTTTTTATATTTATATTTTAATATATTTATTTCAGCTTCATTGAAGTTAAAAATGCTTGTTAAAGTTTTAGCTTTAGTTAATAATAGCATAAACACACTTTCAAGCAAAACTGACTTCAGTTCATACAAACACAAGTAAAAAGCACATTTAGACTAGATGGTTAAAAAAAATTAAAATAAAAAAACCCCCAGTGAAATTAGTTCTTAAACTAGTGATAGCATCATTAGCTTACAGATGCTACTTGTGTTTGATATCTTATGTAATGCAATGACGTTCAGACATTTTATTTGTGACCTAGATGGCATGAAATCAGAATGATTAAACATGATCAGATATGAAGGGTATGATAACGGATGTTTTTTTGTTGTTGTTTTTTTTACAGATATGGATATCATCAGACACCCTAGATAGTTCTCCATTTCTAGTACCTGTAATGTAAACAAATACACACAAAGCAGTAGCAATAAGAAGACAGCAGCAGAGGTGTTTCCTTGTAGTTCTGTAGATGCACCAGAAACCACGAGTCACCCGTATGCAAAACGTCTTCCCTAAACTGTCTAATCATGCAAATACAACCACACTGGCCCCAGTCCCATCTTGTCTGCCCACAGGAGAAATAGCATTCCTCTGCTTTTTCTGAGAAAGCACTATCCCATTATACTGTGATACACTGGGGCAACTGGATTCCCTGCTGTCCTCTCTGAGAGGGGCCGGCTGCCCACATGCATGCATTCCTGCTCTGTGAATCACACTATAGCAGCCTGGTGTGATACATTTAGAGAACAAACTCATTGAGTTAGGGCAGGGATAGTCAAGTGGTGGGTCACGACTCAAAATTGGGTTTCATGTTATAGGTATAAACAATGCAAAATGAAAGTAAGATATAAAATAAGTAAAACTGAATAAAATAAAACAAAACTGCATATTTATGTTAAATAATTAGGCTTATCATACATCAACATACAACACATATGTAACAGTAAAAAATAGACAAAGTAAAAGAAAATATTATCCAGACTACATTAAAAAAACCTTTACGATGACCACAATATTTTTTATATTGTTAATTACTATATTTTTCTTAAATTAAAAAAATTCCTAATTTAATAATTAATATTAACATTTTAATTTGCTTTTAAAGACATTTTTGTTTTATGTTTGTACAATTTTGGTACTGTATTGGGTCATCACTTGTCAAACGTAAAATCTGGGTCCTGAAGCAAAACCAGGCCACAGGCTGACGCAGACAGACAAGAGATGGTCTGTTGTGAATATACAATGACAAGGCAAGTATTTTGGGACAACGGAGAGAGAGGAAAACTGGAGGAGACATAATAAGAAACACACAAAAATCATGCTGTCCTACCGCAGTAACCGAAGTGAAGCAGTCAGCTAATCAGAGGCATGCCTCAAAGTGACCCCTCCTGTCCCCACTGGGATAAATTGTTTCTATGTCTAGTTTTGTTTTTCAGTCTTGCATACGTTGTTTATTTCCCTGTGCTGTCTGTTTCTGTGTCTAATGAGGACAAACAAGTCTGCGCATTTGCCAGGCAGTCATGAATGCAGTGCTGTTCTGCTCAGCTTTGTGTATATGACAGTATGGGGTGGTGGGCAGAGAGAGAGAGAGAGAGAAAGACAGACTCCTTTTGGAGTCCAAAAATAGACTGACGGGACAGTTTTTGACACGGTGGCAGACGCTGCACATTCTGAGCTTTGGAGTGGGATCAGGTGTGTTCAGTCCACAGAGGACTGAAACGCCACAGAGACTCTCAGCAGCAAACAAGCAAAACATCTTCCCTCTCCTGCCCAAATCCTCCAATAACATTCATTTTTTTTAAAACAGACATTCATTAAGTAGAAGCTACAGTTTAAGAAGTCTGTTTTTAATATGAACTGTACTTTCATGCTTTAAATGTTCCTTTAAATTTCCAGAATACAGAAGTGCCTTATTGCATTTAATAATATGGTTAGTAGATAATAAAACAATAACGTAAAAACTTAAAATAATATTTTAAATGTTAATTTTTCATGTCATTTATGTATGCATGTGTTTTTTATTTATATTTATGCTACATTTTTAATGAGTGAATATAAAATAAAAGGGAAAATAAAATACAAATACAATAAAATAGAAAATAAAATAAAATAAAACAAAATACTGAACAAACAAAAAAATCTAATACCCAAAAATGGCCCATTAGCTGAATAAAGGTCATGAAGAAGGGAAATAGGATCAACTTTAAAATCCCTCAAGATAATAAAGGAACTAAGAAAAAAATACATTCAGTACAAACAAATATTGGTACCTCTATGAGCTCTGGCCGGAGGTTGATGGTGTAGAGCCAGTCTGTGAGTTGTGGGTAAGAGTCCAGCGCCAGTGGTCTGTCACTCTCTGGAACACTCTGCTTCCACTCTAACTGTTTACTGATGTACTTCACCAGCTTCACCTGTAGATGGCGATCACACACACACACACACACACACACACACACACACACACACTAGAGCGCGCACACACACACACACACACACACACACACACACACACACACAGACTTATTAGACTGGTGTAGCAACAGCTTTGTGAGACAACTCATTGAGTCATCTGTTTGCTTTTTAAATTGACACCATCTATCCCTAATTAGTTGTTATACCTTCAAAAGAAGATAAATTAACCTCTTATTAAGTTAACATGAAGCTCTTTGTAGATTAAGATCCTTTGAGAAAAGGATCATCAGGATAACATCAGACACAAAGGCAAAAAAAAATTCTATTTTTTATTTCTAATTTCATGGCATATGTTTCAGAGCACTTCAGAGAAAAAGAGCTGTTTCAAAGTCCCCAGTTAGATGCCACAGAAGTTTGAAATCAGTACACCAATGAGGGACAAGCATGTTGATAATTCAGCACGAGCATTTTTCTCTAAACCTTCGTGTCCGCAAGCAAGCGTTGCACACAGAATGCAAAGTGAGAACAGAGCAAAGGAAATCCCCATGTGTGACTTCATTGTAAACGGTGGGCAATGAAAATGTGTGTTGTGCGTGTGTGGTGTCAGTAAAACAACCGAATACAGTGCAAACAAACAGTGTACACAAACACACCACACTTTTCTTCAGTTCAAGTACCAGCCAGTGCATCCATCCGTCATTTTTTTACCATCACTAGACTGATATTAGGTTAAAAAATAACAAGCCAATAACGTACAATGCCCACAGGACAAAGATGTTTCAGACGTGCCCTCCCTTTGTTGCCGTAACGCTCCCACTGCAATAAACAGCGCTGTCTATAAATAGACACTGGTTATCATGGCAAGGGAGTCTGGACTCTTTCTCATGGGGGCGTCTGTTCCGCCACTATGGCAACCCTGGCTGGAACACACTTGGCGGCTGCAGCCAGAGTCCCATGTGACATCATGGAGCAGCGAGACACTGCGGTCCACAGGTTAACAGAAACCACCACACACCTGCCTCTACAGGTACAAGTTCAAACACCTCGGAGACAACCACAGCTGCAACTATGCTCATAAAGAAGAGGCTGTTTTCACTGACTAAAAGCTATGAAGGTTGCTCAGAAATAAAAAGGTTACTTTAGGACTTGGTTCCATAGGAGGTTTGGTTTTTTAGTTAATTCACTTAATTTACTACAAACTGCATGAAGTGGAAACAATAGTGGTACTCACCTTGTTTGAATATATATATATTAGGGGTGTAACGGTACACAAACATGACGGTTTGTTACGTACCTCGGTTTTGATGTCACGGTTCGATACAGTTTTGGTACAGCAGGGGGAAAACAAATTATATATATTTTTTTAATTAAACAGTGGTTTACTGAACAAATTGCTCTTTCTTTAAACGCCGTTATAATTAAAATAAATTTTCTTAAGAATAAAAATCTACCACTGCTTATGCTCTAAACTATAGTGAGCCCTTTTACATTAGGCCTACTATAAGGTTACTGTTAACAACAGAGCCCAAACTTAAATTTAATTACTATTTATTTTTTAAATATAACAAGCAACACTCAACTTTTAAAAAATTATGCAAACATGTAAATAGCACATAATGCAGTTTTTAAATTAACTTCTAAATTATAACAATTATTGTTGTTGAAATATATTCATTTACACAGTGCCTCGCATTACTCGTTTCATAACAGATTTTTTTAAACATTAAATAATTAAGACATCACTAACAGGTCAAGTAAAATATAATGAGTATATAGTCTATATTTCGCCAAATGCTCTCTGCACTTCATTTATAGCGCACTAACGAGCTGTGGACACTGATGACTTGCCTGAGGTAAACGAAACGCTACGTGACATTTTGTTTACAAGCTGTTTTATTGCCGTCTTTCCCAGGTTGAAACGCTGATTGAGCGATTACATGAGGCGTGAGATGTTCATTCATGTTTATTTCACATTAAAACTAGTAGTAAAGAGGTAGGGATGATCGCGCTCCATGCTGCGATTGAACTGAGGTTTACAGCGATCTGTCGTGCTACATCAAAGAGTGCCAAAACAGCATTTATTGTTTGAATTTCCTGAAAAAAAGGACATAATTTGAAATATGAGACTTTGTTTCATATTAAAAGTAACAATATATAAAACTGGAAGTTTCCAATGAAGTTCCGCTCGTGCAGTGGTTAAAACAATGCTGTATTTGTTCGGTACACGTGCGTACCGAACCGAAAGGCCCGTACCGAAAATTTTCAGAACGAATACGTGTACGTATATATATAGATAGATAGATATATAGATATAGCTATACACTACCATGCAAAAACATTTTTTTTTGTAAGAAAGAAATAAATTAATACTTTTATTTAGGAAGCATTAAATTGATTGGCTGTAAAGATATTAATAATGTAACAAAATATTTCTATTTCAAATAAATTAATTTTGTTCTATTTATTTTGTTTCAATTCATTAAAGAACCCTAAAAAAATGTATCACATTTTCAGAATCTTCAAGGAGCCTTTTAGCAAAGCTCAGTCGTGACTGCATGTGGCCTTTCATGAGGAGTGGCTTTTTTCTTGCAACCCTCCCATACAAGCCACATTTGTGGAGAATTTGTGATATTGTTGTCACATGCACACAATAACCACTATTTGTCATAAATTCCTGCATTTGCTTCAGAGTTGCTGTGGGCCTCTTGGTTGCCTCTCTGACCAGTTTGCTCCTGGTTCTTTCATCCAGTTTGGAGCGACATCCCGATCCAGGGAGGGTCTGTGTTGTACCAAATACCTTCCACCACTTAATAAAATAATTCACTGTGCTTCTAGGCATTGATAAAGCCTTTGAAATGTTTTTGTATCCATCTCCTGACTTGTGCCTATCCACAACTTTATCCGGAGATCTTTTGATCGGTGTCTATAGTTGATTGTTTGTTTCAGTTGCACTACCGAGGACTGAAATGCTCCAGGAAAACTCTTTTCATGCTGAGCTAATCAAAATGACCATAGCTGATCACAGCTGAAAGTCAAATGGCTTTGTGTGCCATAGCTACACCTGATTGAGTTTACAAATCATTTTTAGGAGGGGGTGATCCTTTTTCCAACTCAGTGGTTAATTTTTTCATGTCTTTTTTCTGACATGTTGGTGTCACTTGGATGTTATAAGTTGATTAAATACAGCTGGATAAAACAAAAACTGTGTCCGTCTTCATTTCAGGCTGCAAAGCAACAAAATGTGATCATTTTAAAGGGGGGTGATTCTTTTCTATACCCACTCTAAAATATATTATAATATATTATATATATATATATATATAAAAATATATTGGCAAAAATTTCACATTTCAGTTGTTTTCTGATTTACCTGACCTTTCATGTCATATAAAGAGTCAAGACAGTGAAAGTGCGTCAGAGCAGACTGCGTTGTTGAGCAAGAACAGTTGTAGCACCAGTCGTTTATGCAAACCACCAGAGTGCAAGAATAATTCAAATTATTTCTAGATTTCACACATTGTTACACATCATAATTTTTATCAAAACTCATGCTCTATCTAGAGATCACCACAGAGAAATACACTATTTTGTCTACAAGAGCTTTGGTAGGTCACAGTGGCAAATTCGACTGAACCTGTAGCCCAGCAACCAGCCACCTGTGCAGTTGATTAGCGCTCTCCATTCGTATCACGGCACTCGAGAAGAGAGCAGCTGCAGTGTTGGAGCACCTTACTAGCAGTTAATTCTACTGAGAGACAAGACAGCAGTGGATGGCTTTATGTATGAGCGTATTATCACCTCACCCAGGCAAAACCGCCAACACAGTATGTAGTGCAGTCTTCAAAAGAGAACGAGAGCAGCGTATCATTAAAGTTTCAGGAGGTTTATAGCAGTCTTAGAAGCTGTTCTGGCTTTTTTCTCTTTGTACTATCTGAGAATGCCCCCATTTGATGCTGATTTGATGCATCGGTCGGCCACGAGCGAACCTCGAAGACAACAGGGTGTTAGCTTGCACCAGACATAGCCTGGCACAATGTGCAGGAGTGCGCCTGTATTCAATGACTATCTCTCCTCTCATCTGCCATCTCCGTTACACCTCTCAAGGGGCGGCTGGAGTATGGGGCAGGGGGGACCTGCTTAACTAAAGTGTCTGCGTGAGACCGGAGAGGATAGATTGAGAATCTTTTGTGACATTTGAAAGCACCCGGCCTCTTAGATGCAAAATGAGCTTCATATTACAGAATTAAGAGACACAATCCATAAGGGGAGATGGTGTCTGTTACTACAGACCTCTGTGAAAGTTATAAAAGTGAGTACATTGGCAATCAAGAGTGTAGCAAGTTTGATGCTGATTTCATCAATACGGTTCCTGGTAAAACGGTGCCACAATCATTTCAGGAAGAAGAGTGTTCCTGGTATGAGTGTGCATGGAGAAAGACATGTGATTAGATGATGTAATTTCCACATCTACTTTCTTTTGTGTAGGCATGCACTCAAATTCTACAAAATCACTTGATTTCATCAAATACAACATGCATAAAAAGGTTTGCAAAAAGTGTCACAGTTGTACCAGATAAGGTAACTGTAGACTGTAGTGGAGTGGCGTGGATCCTGTTACACACTGTGTCACCAATACAAGCAAACCTGCTCCTATTGTTTCTGACAATAACATAAAAGCATATGGGATAATGCATGCTAGGTTTAAACAACCAGACTACCTGTAAAAATCACTATTTTTTTCAGTTCAGTGTGGCACATGGCAATAGATCCATTAAATGATTTGTCTCAAGTGCTGGCTGGGTAGTAACTGATTACATGTAATCTGGATTACGTAATCAGATTCCAAAAATTAACTATTTGTAATTAGATTAAATTACATTTTAAAATACTCGTCTACAGTAATCAGACTACAGTTACTTTTTTATGGATTATATGATTGCATATTTACAAAATAGCAATACATTATCCATAATTTATTGATTCACACTAATTCCTCTTT